GACATGGACTACTGAGTGGGATTATGGGGAGGAGGAGTGGAGCGCGTGTGCAGGCTTTGTGTTTTCCAGACCCTGGTGTCCCCCCCCCTCCCCCCGTGCATATAGTGCACCCGGTGTGGATAAATAAAGAACTGTTTAAATCCCATCTCTCAGTCTGTGCCTCAGTCCGCTCCATCCCCATGACAGCTGTCCTCTTTTTCAAAACAGTAAAGTAATCAGTTTGGTTGTCTCACATTTAAATGGCCATCTTTTACTTAATTATATCCTCCACAAAGGATATCACCTAGCTGGTTATCTACGACTTCATCTCCCAGGGCTGCTTTTGTCTAAAGCTGAGCAGAAGGCTTTAAAGATGTGTGTTATCAACAGGAGCACTCTGTCAGAGTTTCTCTTTCTTTTACTGGGAATACCATGAGACCGAATGTATGTTCTACTCTTAAATCTGCTTCAGAGGCTGTGAGACGCTTTTCTGCGGCTCTGAGGTGGCGTGACTAACAGAATGACTGCTTTTGGAGTGAGCCAGGCCAGTAAGAACAGTCACCAGGACCTACAGGAAGTGGTAAAGGCTGGAGAAAACCCACAGTCTGCTTTGAGCTGCTCTTGCTTTCTTGCTTCTGAAACAGATTAAACAAGCTCCAACATGCTAATTTGCATCTTTACCTGAGGAAGGACACGAGACATGTAGTTTACAAAGCAAATACTCTGACTTACCATGAGGTGGCAGTGCGGGCCCAATGGATCACCCACAAGCACACAATAAAGGACACAAAACATCTCATGAGGCTAAGTGGACTATATCTTTGGTTTTCCACATCAGACTTCTGAAAGTTCAGATGTGTAGCAAGATGGTTTTGGTTCATCCTCAGGGGAGAACTGCTGAGAAACCCCATTTGGTTTAGTGCTGTGAGAACCAAAGCGATAGATTATGGAGAAAACAAAGACCGTCTTGCTGTCCGGGAATTTAATTCCTTTGGGGGGGCTGAACACAGAAGACTCCTGGGTCTATTGCTTAAGACTGAAAAAAGGAAAACATGATACTTTCTAGGAAGAACTCTATACATGCATCACATTGGGGTGATGAACTGTCTTTATTATTTTGTACTGCTTGACACTTCTGTTTGAATTCAAATCATCTGAATGTTAATCACTGTTTCAATGTGAATATCCCAACAATGGGAATTATAAAGCCTGTCTTGTCGTATATATTTCAACAGTTTCAAAACCTAAGCTGGTATTTTGATGAAAAAAATGACATATAATCAGCTGTTTAAAAGGATACTTTAAAAGTACATTAAAAAAAAAACTAACTCAACATTTGTATTCAGTTTTTGTGTGGATAGAGAAAATCCTGCATTATACTCCAAGATACTCACTATACGAAATCTACTGAATTATATAAATATTAAAGGTGTGAAAAGTTGTTGGAATAAAACTAAACTCATCTTTATTAGACAACTATGTCATATCTGTGGTCATCACAAATGTTACAAACATGATAACGGGTCAATAACAGTGAACAAATTCGAAACTAATGACATCATGTAACAGCTGGACTGATACAATAAATACTGCAGACACTATTAAAAATAGTCAGCCTGTTTAACCTACTGCCCTCACTAGTTCCTTTTTAACAATCAATAATTATTGTTAAACATTATTTTTTAAGAATGTACAACTGATTTTATATTATTTTGGGTGTACTGAACGCATCATTACAGTTTTCTTAAAATGCTTAAAAAGTGAAAGGAAGAAGTAAAAAATGATTGAGAAAGTTCATGAATGATTCATACAGTGCGACAGAAAACCTCACAGTATAAACCGTACAAAACTAATCTCACATTTTGATTAATAATTCATGTGCAGACACTGGCACTCATCATACCTAGCTGATATGAGTTCATGTTCCTGCACAAACAAATCTATCAGATTTTAATTCATATTTCATGTTTCCCCGTGACACCTGGCTTAAAATGATGGCATTTGATCAGTGAGTAAAGGAAAGAACAAGATGGGTTCACAAACCAATGAAAACGGTCTACTTTATCTCATTAAATGTAGCAGTGTTGTCAGCCCAAAAACTCTTCCAAATCCACAGTCCAGCATAGAGCGGCTTAGTGAATGTGGTCTGGACTCTGTGGAGGAGGGCCATGGTGTCAGAGACGCTGTAGAAAGAAAGAACACCTGCTCTAGGATCCACGTACACTCCTATTTTGGAGGACAGAGGGCCTGAGAGGGGAGTTGTGATTTTATTGTGACTGAATTTGTAGCTGTCACCGTAACACTCTAATGCCCAGGATTTATTGTTACTTCCAAAATCACTTTGATCCAGTTTATTTTTATTCTTGTACGTCACAGCAACTGAAAGGCCTTTCCCTTTCATCTCCACCTCCCAGTAACAAGGTCCAATCAGACTCTCCTTACTCAGGGCCTGCTGGTGGTGGGAAAACCTGTCCTTTCTTTGAAAAGAAAAGTCATTAGTTGGATGTTGAACAGTGTTTGACACAGATCTATTCTGATTAGACAGAAATATTTTAGGGTGCACTGTATCTGAATCCATTGTCAGTTGGTACGAATATTTTAAAAACTCATCTCTGGTCTTAGGCTTGCTTTGTGGCAATAAAACATCCACTGATCTCACTGTCAGAGTGATCTTCCTCCATTCTTCAGCGAGAAAAGCTTTGATTTTATCTCTGACTTCTAACACTGTTGTTTGCAGATCCTCAAAGTACTTAACTGGACACATTTTGAAGCTTGGTGAGTCTGTATAATCGTTGAGTTTGAAAGGCAGGGAGTAGCTGAGTAGAAACTCTGCGTTGTCCTCTGTGTGTAAAAGCTGCTTCAGCTCCTCGTCCATCTTCTTCAGCTCAGTGATCTCCTGCTCCAGCTTCTTCTGAAGCATTACAACTCGACTCTCTTCCTCTTTCTGCTGGAGTTGTATCTTCTGCTTTAGACTTTTTCCCTTTTCTTTAATGTAACTCACCAGCTCATTGATGATGGTCTCACTGTCCTTCATTGCTTCATCAGACGACACTTTAATCCCGTCTACCTCTTTATCAAGCACTTTCACTTCCTCCTGTCTTCTCTGAATCCTCTGCTGGATTTTTTGCAGAATCAGCTTGAGATCTTTCTGCCTGTGTTTCCTTTCTTCTTCAACTTGAACCGTGTTATGGTGATTATGTTCATTCACACAGCAGACATAACAGATACACTTTTGATCAGTACGGCAGAAAATCTTCATCACCTCATTATGAGTTGAACAGATGTTCCCTTTCAGCCTGTTCGATGGTTTGACCAGCTTGTGTTTGTCAAAGGCAGAGGAGTCATAGTGAGGCTGGAGGTGTTGCTCACAGTAAGAAACCAAACATACCAGACAGGACTTCACTGCTTTCAGCTTCTCTTCAGTGCAGACATCACAGGAAACATCTTCAGGTCCAGCATAGCAGAGATCAGCTGAAGCAGCTTGGTGTCCAGATATCTTCAAGTCCTCTACTAACTCTGCTAACATGCTGTTTTTCTCCAGCTCAGGCCTCGATATGAAACTCTTTGTGCACTGAGGACAGCTGTAGGCTCCTTTTGGTTCCTCTTTATCCCAGTGTCTTTTAATGCAGCTCATACAGTAGTTGTGTCCACAGGGAATAGTCACCGGCTTCTTCAGTAGATCCAGACAGACTGAACAGCAGAGTTTTTCCTGATCCATTGTCTGTCCTGTGTGAATGTCTCGTGTGAATCTTTGTATGTGAAGGTTAATGTCAACCAGTTTTACTGTGGAGGGAAAAGTGGTGTGTATCGGGTTACACTCTGTTTCAGGAAATCACGAGGGAAGTCACACTTGACAGTAGGGTGTTTCAGTAGATAAATGTCATTCAGTGGAATTATTTCACAGTTCCCTTTTTCCCCCTTACTTGATTATGTATTTCTGTGTTTTTTTTTTATTGTCCATGCTTTTATTTTGCATTTCTTTCAGTAAGCTTTACTTCTCTCAATTACCCACTCCTGGTTGAATCCACTATACTGGTGTTATGTATAACCAATTAGGACTAAGCATTGCTCAGGTGGGACCAATGGCATGTGTGGGGGTGGGACAGATGGTCTGTTGACAGAGAGAAGAGCAGGTAAAACAAGATAGGGAAACAAAGAGCCAATCAAGTTCAAAGTTCAGAAGTAATGTGATTTCTTTTTACAGTTTTCCAACTTTCTAATTTTGGTATTGTTTGATACCAAGTAAATACAGGGCCAGTAACACCATTACCAAGTACTGATACTGACACTTTTAAGAAGTGAGTCACATGACAACAACAAAACACAGTAGAGCACAGGAGGAGCAAGCTGTGCATGTAAGTTGGGAGAACAGTAATGTTTGCAGAGACATGCAAAGACATGTCTGCTTACTGTGGAAATGGGAGGAATGTACAGAGCATAGGAGAGAGAATCTAAAACTGAAGTATCAGTACCCGCACTAGTATGGTATCAATATGACTGATATTTCGATTGGTCCACCTATTACTTAATTCTGGTAATCAATAAGTTATTGAGTGATTTGTATTACAACTTTATTTTTACTTCATCTGCATCTGTATCATCTGCAAATGTAATTATAATATTGGTAATAGAGATGGCACGATACCACTTTTTTATGTCCGATACCGATACCGATATCATAAATTTGGATATCTGCCGATACCGATATGAATCCGATATAGTGTTTTTTAATCAACAAAACTGTTTTTTAAAATATCTTGCTGCATTTTGCAAGTTCATACTCAAGTTTAAAACAACAACTACACTAAAGCTATTCTGTTATACCTGTATACAAAAAAAGTATTTCATAGTTCAGCAATACTGATCAATCTAATAAACTTAGACCTACACCATCCTCCCTATTCTGGTATTTTAAAGAGTACTTAGCGTAAATATTAAGCAACCTAACTAATAGGGTTCCAACTCCCAGCAACAACAAAAATAAATAAATAAAAAATAGGGAACCACCCCTCACGCTCCACCTCATGATGCTTAATCGACGTAATCAACCTTAATTTGATGCAGTGTGAAATGCACAGAAATCAATTATTTTTCAAGAAATATTAAATAGATTCAACATCTTTCTTCAACAAAATTGCAGACTGCACAGATGGTACCTTCCCAAAGGAAAAAGTACTATAGCTTACTAGGGTATATTATATTAGACTTAATAGTTACTATATACAGTAATGGACTTCTATTCATTTTACATCAAATTAAAACTTTGGGTGTCAGATAATTATTTATTAAAAGCTAGACATTTTAAATGAGAATAAGAAAGAAAAGTATGTCTTTGTGCCCCCTTTTCCCTGTTAATGCCCTATCGGCCCCCCTGGCTAAACTTTGCTAGATCCGCCCCTGCACAGTTACCAGCGTCAGCTACGTAGAAAAAGATCCTGGTGTAGAAAGTAATATTAAATAAATTCTAACAACAGCTTATCAAGCTTAAACGTGCTGCTGTTGTTCAGCCGCTGGTTTCCTCTTTCTGGTGCAAAGTGGGCCAAAAACAAACAAGAGAGACTCGCGACAGAAAAGCCGATCAGCTGATCATTAAGCAGTTTCATGATTGAAGTAGCAGCCGGAGAGCAAGAGGCAGTCGCTCGTTAAGCTTAACGCAGGAATGCTTTACAAACATTCAGAGATGGACTTACACACTTGCTTTACTTCTCTCGGGGATAACTTTGTCGGAGATGAAATGCCGGGTTGCTAGCGAAGCTCCAAATGCTATCCAGACCACCGACAGGTCCCGCATGCCACAGCCACTCTATCACGTGATGCATACTGCTCCGACGTGCTAACGTTCTGAGGTGAGTTACGGCGTATGTGAGGTGCTTTCGTGATATTTAATGGATCGGATTACATTTTTTATTTTTCTCCGATATCCGATCCAGTAATTTAGGTCAGTATCGGACCGATACCGATACGTAATATCGGATCGGTCCATCTCTAATTGAACATAAGCAAGAGTGCAGTACATCCTAATTGTTGTTCTTAAAGCAACAATAGCTAATTTCATGGTAGGAGGACAGGACCATTCAGCAGAGGGCAGAACCGTACACATTGCATCTGTAAGGCAAGTATACCAAATTCCAGATCAGTAGCATTAGCTCGCAAAAATAATACGCAGTTTTTAATCCTACTTTGCACAACATTTCTATGAGCATTCAAACTGCATATAGTTAACAGAGATGTCACCTAACTATTACACCAACTAATTCCTCTGATGACGCTGATAGGAGAGTGGGCTAGTGAGCAAATCTAATAACTAAGGTGATGTTTATGGTTTTACCTATATAGTTACCTGCACACAGTAGTTAGCGTTCAGTACACATGCTTTTTTGGATGTACACAGATCTATCTTTTCAAGTGTCCCCTGCACTTACAAAGACTTGTTTTTCTTTTTGTCAGCAAACTCATTATATGACTTCTTAATGGCTTCAGGGTACTGTGAAAATGGTAGTTGCTATGTCATTAGTGCAGTGTTGGGTAAGTTACTTTAAATTAGTAACTTAGTTACATTACTAGTTACTTCTATCAAAAGTAACTCAGTTACTTCAAGTTACTCGTTACTTTCAGAGTAACTAGTTACTAGGGAAAGTAACTTTGGTTTTACTCAGAATTCTCTTGTTAATGTGTTGCTTCCGTAACTGGATACCCAGCAAGTTTGCCAGTCTTCTAGCTTGCTTACTTGCCACAGAGATGGGCAGTAACTCATTACTTGTAACGCGTTACTGTAATCTGATTACTTTTTTCAAGTAACGAGTAAAGTAAGGGATTACTATTGCAAAACGGTAATTAGATTACCGTTACTTTCCCGTAGGAACGCTGCGTTACTGCGTTACTAAAACCGTGATTTTTTTGCGAGAATGTCTCACGACAGTGACGTAAGCGAGTGCGCCGTTAGTGACAACAGCTGTGTGCAGATCAACAATGGATCACATATCGATTGTGGGAGAGAGTATGAGCGTGCAGCGTTTAAAGCGTGGAAGTACTGACCTTACTTTGAGTTTGATTCCATAAAAAGTGACAAAAATTAGTGTCTTCAAGCAAGCACCGAGTGCGCAACGACGTAATGGGAAATTCACAGAGAAACTCGCGGATTCTTCAACTGACCGTGGCACACCTGCACCAGGGTAAACCTCCGCCTACCCCACTCCTGCTTTACAGGTGAAAATAGAGCAACAGGACCGCTGAGTCTTTGACTTTATTTATTTTCTGCTGTGTTTCACTTGCATCTATTTGAAAGACTGAGTGTAAACACAAAAAATATTTTATTTTATGTGCTGGAATGTGCAGAAAATAGGTTTAAATGTTAAACAAATTTCTTCCAGTCAGAGAATGTTGCATATAATTAAATTTTTGCTTGATGCATAAAGTTAAAAGATTAAAACTAATAAAACAAGTTTTAAAAAGAGACTTTTCCATTTGATTACATTTTGTATGATGGATTATGCAGAAAAAGTAGAATTGGGCTGAAAGATCTATCGCTTTATCACCTATTCAGGTTGTAAATCGTGTTTTTAAAAAGTAACTAAGTAACTAAGTAATTAATTACTTTTGAAAATAAGTAATCAGTAAAGTAACGGGATTACTTTTTTGGGGAAGTAATCAGTAATTAGTTACTGATTACTTTTTTCAAGTAACTTGACCAACACTTGCTTGCACAAGTGCACTGTGCCACCTACCAATAGAAAGGAAAAAATAATGTGCACATTTCCACGAGAGAAATCCCACGCCTGATTCTATCCTAGCCTGCTTTTTACATCCAACACAAAAACTGCAGTCGTGGTGCTTTCGATTGTACTCAGAACTCGGAAATTCTGCCTTCTGAATAGGAAGATGTAGGTAACACCAGACTGCAGATGAGCTGCATACAGGGCTGGACTGGGACAAAAAAATCGTCCCGGGCATTTTGACTAGAGACCGGCCCACCATTATAGGAAAAATCATAAAGCCTTTGAATGAAAATAAACACTGTTGTGACAGTGATGTACACTGTTCTGATGGTATATATGCATCAATCTATCAATCGTTTGTTGTAAGATTCAGATAATTATTTTTTAAAAGCGAGACATTTTAAATGAGAATAAGAAAGAAAAGTATTTCTTTGTGCCCCCCTCTCCCTGTTAATGCCCTACCTGGCCCCCTGGCAACACTTTGCTAGATCCGCCCCTGCACAGTTACCAGCTGTCAGCTACCTAAAAAAGGATCCTGGGGTTATTTGTCTCTCAGAAACAGTTCATAACTTCCCTTCAACTCATTCATGTCACCTAAAAGGTAAACCTGTTTCTCCATCACCTGTTCAGCTCTGATGATCCAGTAAGGACATCTCCTGGTTTCATCTTCATGTTTCCCTCTCACCAGATAACCAAACCATATCATGACCAGCAGCTTACAGCTGTGGCTCCAGCAAACATCAGCTGAATGTTAGCCAAGTCACTGTTTATTTTGCCACTGCCAAGTATTACCCTTATATAAGTTAAGTAAACCTTGTTAAAACGTTCCTTCCACCTCCACTCTGGGTTACTGCACTTTGGTTCAGTTCGAGTTACCAGCCTCAGGGCCCCTTTGACACATATTGTCTGTTCACAGCAAAAATCTTCCAAAGCATTAAATCTAAAAACAACTCCACACCTTTTATCTGCTTAACTGATAGTGACATGACGAATGAACTGCCCATGAGATAGCCTTTGAGTTAATTGTCAAATTACTTCTTGTCCTTTTAAAAAGAGGTTGGCACATGTTAGGAGCTCAAACTGCTAAACTCTTCATCCAGTTTAAATGTGGACACTCTAAAATGAAAGCTGTCTGTGTCCATTATATCTATAACTGGAGTATGTTTCAATAAACAGGTAAAAGACACAACTTGTGTAGGT